CCCGGAACCGCCCCCCCTGCCGGTGAGCCTCCCACGGCTGCTGGACCCCTGCCCCGACAGGGCCTCTCAGTCGGCCCCTCACAGGCCGAGACGGTGCAGGCTCCGGGCAGCTCTGACCGAAGCGGGGACTGCAGGGGAAGCACAGCAGGTCCTGACCGTGGCACCCCAGCCCTCCAGGATGCAGGGCCAGGCCCGTGGCCGATCTCTCCTCCCTACCCGTCTCCGATGGGCACTGTCACCATCCCAAGCCCCACTCTGCTGCAGGGCTGCCCCTCAGGGGCTGAGCAGGAGAGGGGGCACAGGAAACTGGTCCCTCTGCAGAGCCCCAGCTGTGGGAAGCCCGGCCGCTGCCCAGGACAGTGTGGATGCTGAGGGGCTGTGGTCATGAGCTTCCAGAAGACCCTCCAGGCCTCGGAGGTGAAGGCCCTTTTTCTGAGCAGCTTGTGCCAACACCCCCAGGTGCGGTCTTGTGCATTCTCTGGGTCCCGGCTGTCCTCTGCCTGGCACTGGGACCCCATGTGATAGAAGGGCCTGTCCACTGAGGGGCCCTCCCCAGTCTGGCCCGACAGCCGTGTCTGGGTCAGGGCTCAGGCCTGGGCTTCACCACTCACCACCAGCTGGGCTGATTCTGCCCTGGACAGGCTCGGGTTCCTCGTCTGCAGAATGGGAGTAGAACAAGGGGTTTGGTCTGTGGGCGGCCACCGTGGGTCCATCCCACTCTCCTGAGCTCCGACTGTTCGTGTGCTAGCTGCCCCCGGCCATGCCACTGCCCAGGTCCAGGTCTGCGACGAATAGCTGAGGGGACAGCACGTCCGCCCAGGAGGGCGGCAAACACTTGGGGTGGGGGTGTTGGCGAGTGTGGGGCTGAGCCAGGGAGCCCCAGGTTGGCACCTCGGTCTACCCGAGTCTGGGCTTCCCTACGGTCCAGCCCGGAGGCCTTTGCCTCGCTCAGTGGTCTCAGGTCTGGGAGGGGGGCTGGCCCTCCCCAGGCAGTCAAGGACAGCCAGACACCTGGGGCTGAGCTGACCCGGGCGCCGCGCCGTGGCTCCCGCCTTCCTGGGAGTGCAGGTGAATGGTGAGTCGTTGGCCACGAGTGACAGCCGAGCCCCGCCCACAGGGACAGCAGGAAGGTGGCCCCAGGGACAGCACAGCCACTGGGGCTTGGTTCACAGCGTTCCGGGAAGAGGGTTAACGGGATTCCCAAGTCCTAATTTGGGCCAGGTCTTTGGGCTGAGTCACAACGTTACAGGGGCCGGGCCATGGAGGGGGTTGTAACTGAACCCCGGCACCCCCATCATGTCCCAGGCCTCGGGCCCCGAATGCACTGCGCCCTAGACTCCAGCCATCCTGGAGGCCTTGCCTTCAAAGCACTGGGGATCGTTCTTTGCCCAAGTCAACGTTGGGGACTGTGGGCTGGCCCCAGGCTCAGGCCCAGGCCCATCGGTGTCCCCCGGAGGCCACATCCGGAGCCTGGCCCTGATCCCCCCTTTCAGGCTGAGATGGGGTCTGGCCAGCCCCGCATCCCCTAGCGGCTTCACTTCCTCCCCAGCCCCACCCCTTCCGTGACCTACAGCCTGGTGGCCTGCACTGAGCCACCCAGCCAACTGGTCCGACAGCATTCCGCTCCTGGGATAAAACCGGGGCCACCTGCGGGGACCTTACACAAGGCCCTCTGCCTGTCCCAGCCAGCACAGCCGGGTCCCTGGAGACTGCCAGCTATCTGGGCACCTACACCCCGCCGGCCATGATGGTTTCCAGAAGCCCCGCAGCCCTGCGTGTGGGCTGTCTCCAGCTTTCAGTGTCGCTGCTGCTGGTGTGTACAGGTGAGGCCCGAGCCCTCCGCATCCTGAGTCCAGCCTCTCCTCTCAAGGCTCATGTTAAAAATGCGTGTGCTCCTTCTGCCTCTCAGCCCCTCTCTACCCATCAGCCCTCTGTCCCTCGATTGCCTAAGTCTGTGCCCTCTACCTGTGGGGAGCCGCCTGACTCTCCCTGCCATTCTGGCTGTCTCTGTCGCCCGCACCTCCCTGCCTGTCTCTGCAGACCTCCTCCGCCGTGCAGAGCAGGGGTGGGTGCAGACACAGGCCAGCCTAGCGGGGCCTGGCCGCGCTCTTGCCTCCCCGCGCCCTGTTCCTCCGGCTCTCTGCCTTTGCCCACCTCTCTATCGCCCCCCCAAGTCGGTTTTGTTCCTGGGCAAGAGGTCCCCGGGGAGGCCCTCGAGCCCTGGCTCCCCACCCTCGGCCTGCCCTCATGGAACGGGTGCAGCATGGGTTGGCGGCCAGAAGGTGAGCTGTGAGGTTCACCGCCAGGAACCAGGCTCCAGACATGCCCGCCCCAAGCTTGGGGATGAGCCCACAGGAGAGTGGCGGAGGGGTGGGGGAGGCAGGGCCTCCTCCCTCCCCTTCCCCCCTCACCCCCCACTGTTCCTTCTCTCCTCAGTCAGCCTTGGGGCCGCCAGGACGCCTGGTGAGTGTCGCTGCTGCACATGGGGCTTCAGGTGCCCGTTCGTGCCTGTGGGTCTGTCTGCATGGGAGCTGGCCAGGAAGGGGTGAAGGAAGATGGAGGGAGGCAGGGATGAGGGGCGGGGCAGAGAAGAGGGGAGAGGCTGAGGGTCTGAGCAGGGGAGGGGCGTGGCCATGGAGATGACAGGAACTTGGCCCCTCCACAGCGCCCCCAGCCTGTGGAAAACCCCAGCAGCTGAACCGGATCGTGGGAGGCCAGGACAGCACCGACGCGGAGTGGCCGTGGGTCGTGAGCATCCAGAAGAACGGCACCCACCACTGCGCGGGCTCGCTGCTCACCAGCCGCTGGGTGGTCACTGCTGCCCACTGCTTCAAGGGGTGCGTGCACCGCCAGGTCGCCCCACTCCGCCGGCCGGCAAGCAGGCCTCTGCAGAGCCCCCATGGCGCCCAGAGCCTGCCTGCCTTTCAGGGCCCTGGTCCCTGCTGCCCCTCCAGACTGTTCCCAGCTGACCCACCCCCTTTCCTTCCCCTCCAGCAGCCTGAACAAGCCATCTCAGTTCTCGGTGCTGCTGGGGGCCTGGCAGCTGGGGAACCCTGGCCCTCGGGCCCAGAAGGTGGGGATTGCCTGGGCACACGCCCACCCCGTGTACTCCTGGAAGGAGGGTGCTCCTGCAGACATCGCCCTGGTGCGCCTCGAACACCCTGTCCAGTTCTCTGAGCGGGTCCTGCCCATCTGCCTGCCTGACGCCTCCGTACACCTCCCCGCCGACACCGCCTGCTGGATTGCAGGCTGGGGGAGCATTCACGAGGGAGGTGAGACCGCTCCCCACCGGGGCAGAGGGTGGTAGAGGGCAGGGGCACCCAGGGACGTGACATGATCAGAAAAGGGGAGCAAGCACAGGCCCACCAGGCGGACAAAGACGGGCTGCCGTCAGGGCGTGAAGTTCGGGAACCTCAGCACGCAACTTTGGGTTAAAAGGGACCTTCGGCTGTTTCCAGGCCACAACAGCCGGACTGTGGAGCCAAGCTGCACAGGGGCACGCTTGTGTATGCACAAGTGTGTGCACGTGTGAACATGGAAATGCCCTGGGCCCTGCCTCTGGTGGCAGCATGCTGCAACTGCAGCAGAACCGGCAGGAGAAAATGCAACCTCCCAGCTCTGGCTGGAGGTTTGGAAATGTCCTCTAGAAACATCCAGGGTATGAGGACAGCACAGAGGGGCAGCAAGAGCAAGGCAGCAGAGGACGGGGCGGCCAGAAAGACGGCGTAGACGAGGGGACACGGGGGTGGGTGGGAGATGCAGGGAGACGGGGAGGCAGAGGGCTGGAGGACTGAGTGCAGGAAAAACAGGGCTTCTGTCAGATTCCCGAGAGTGGGGGGCAGGCAGGGCGGACGGCGGGGCTCCCACTGCCTCTGAGCAGCAGCCTTGCCTCCGCTGGCCCCCAGGAGCTCTGGGAGAGCTGGCAGGGTGGACTAGCTGCAGGTCTGGGGTGCGGGTTCCTTCAGGCGCGGCCAAAGTCCAGGGCCGGGTGGACGCCCTGAACACTGCAGGGCGAACGGCCCTGCTCTGGCCACTTGGGCTCAGCCAAGGCATTGCAGCCCCTGCCCGTCCGCAGTCTGGAGGCCTGGAGCCGGGATTCGGGAAGCGCTGGGAGAGGCCAATGGGGTTGTCAGCCTTTGAGAAAGGCTACTGAGAGTCATGGAAGGAAAGCCAGCAGGTGGGAGCCCCGGCCTGACTCCCTGCTCGCTGGCAGTGCCTCTGCCCCAGCCCCAGACCCTGCAGAAGCTCAAGGTGCCGATCATCGACTCGGAGGTCTGCAGCCGCCTCTACTGGCGCGGAGCCGGGCAGGGGGCCATCACTGAGGACATGCTGTGTGCTGGCTACCTGGAAGGGGAGCGCGACGCCTGTCTGGTGAGCACCCTCAACTGCCCTGCCCAGGAGGGGCCAGCATCCGGGCCTCTCCCTGGGCCTCCTCCCCAGAAGCAGCAGGGACTAGCAGCTCCCACCCCACCCTGGGAGAGCGGCTCAGGCGGCCCAGTGGTCAGCGCGCCCGCGCACACCGAGGTTTGCTGGTCTCCACCGGCCCTCGCTGGAGCTCACCTCCTGGTGGCTGGGGCCTTTCCCACATCCGGCCCCCATCCCAGCTCCAGCTCCGACCACACCGCGTGAAGGGGGGTGCGATGATGCTGGACCCCTGACCTGCTGCGATTAGCAGAGGCTGCCAGCCACGGCAGTTCCTTCCTGAGCCTGAGCCGCTCAGGGCCGTGGGGCAGAAGGGCTGGCAAAGTGCTTTTCACGGAGTCTGCCCGCCCTTCCCGGGTTCCCAGCTGGCCGGTGGAGGCGGATAATGGACCGCAGGCAGGAGCTGTGGGCCGCGGTGCGGCTTTGCGTATGCTCAGCCCCAGACGGTCCTAACCTTCCCTCCCGCAGGGCGACTCCGGGGGACCTCTCATGTGCCAGGTGGATGGCTCCTGGCTACTGGCGGGCGTCATCAGCTGGGGCGAGGGCTGTGCAGAGCGCAACCGGCCCGGGGTCTACACCAGCCTCACTGCCCACCGCCCCTGGGTGCAGAGGGTTGTGCACGGAGTGCAGCTGCGCGGGGCCAGCGGGGCGCGGGGAAGGGGCCCCTGGGGCCTGGGCTCCTAGGCCGCCGCGGTGCCGCTCCCTCCCTTGTAAATAAGCCACCTACCTCGAGGGGGCGCCGGCGCCCAGCGTGAGGCTCCGCCCGCCCTGCCCCCGCCCTCGTGTATATAATTGTTCCAGATTTTTACAGTTGTTACCCTGCCCACGTATCTTATTTATTCTCCCAATTTCAATAAATTATTTATCGTCCGGTTCCCATGTTTTCTCGCGTATGGGGACACTGGGCAGCGAGGGTCCGGCTGGGCTAAAATGGTGGGAGGGGAGGAAGGGAGGGGGAAACGAGGCAGGAACTGGCCGGGTCAGGGACTCGGGGGTCCTGTCCACCTGGGGCTCAAGCCTACTCCTGACTGCCACCTGCAGTCCGGCATCCTCCGCCCTGACCTTTGCAGCCTCAGCTCTGCCTCCCCCCATCACCCCAGCCCCATTCGGGAGCCGGGGAGGTGAGGCTGCGGGTGGAGAGCAGCCAGGCTGCGAACACGACCTTTACGCACATGCGCAACGCGCTTCCGCAAGCTGCTCCGCAGGGCCCCGAGAAGCGTCCACGCACGGGAGCACTGCCTGCCCCAGTGGCCACCTGCCTGCTGCCAATGCCCACTCCCCCCTACTGCCCCGTATCCCCGCTAAAGGAAGTCACGTGTGCTTATCAGTCTGTCCCCCCAAAAAGATCAGAAAAGTTATATGGCGCCAGTCCTTTTCACATCTTCAGACGATTTACGTCCAAAAACAACAGCCTTCCCCACTCGAACGTGTTCACGCCGAGCAGGTCTGGGCACCTGCTCATCAAGGAGGGCAGAGGGTGGGCGCCGGCCTGCCAGCTGGGCTCCAGAACAGGGCCGGCGGGGGTGGGGGGGAGCCCCACCTGCGCGTGGGCCAAGCCCCTCCAGGCCCGCCCCTTCCCGTTCCCACTGTGTTCTGGGAGCCTCGGGCTGGTAGGGTGAGCCCTTGCCTCCCTCCTTGGGCTGACAGCTCTCACCTGGAGCTGGTTCAGGGCGTGAGTCACTGTGAGTCCGAATTCCGCCCTGCGGAGGCAGGAACCCAAACAATGGCAGGCTGGCAGGCAGGTCTCAGGGCCCGTCGCTATAGGGACCGCGTCACGGTGCCTTCATCAGGCTGCAAGCGGTCTGCACCCCTTCCCTGCCCAGCACTCATGGGCAGCCAGGCCTCTGGCCTCCTACCTGTCCCTGTCCCTCTGTCCCCACCCTTCCTGGGACTCTGGCCCAGCCCAGCTGGGTGGCAGGTGTTCCCCAGTTTCCCTGTTCCAGGTAGGATTTTTTTTTTTTTTTGAGAGTTTTTTTTTTTTTTTCTGGATTGGTTTTTGCTATAGGGTGTGTGTGCTTGCCAGAAAGACAGAGAGACAGAAAGCGAGAAATCACCCTCCAGGGGGGATGGTCACGCCGCAATCCCCGCCGCAATCCCTTCTCCTCCATTCTCCTCCCGGGATCTTGGGCATGCACGCACACGCGCCCGGCGTGAGTTTTAAGCCACCGGGTCCGGGACACGAACCGCTGTCGACTACGTGGGAGTCCAGCAACATAGCCATTACGCTAACTACTGGTTCCCATTCCAGGTAGGTTTTGACAAGTAGGTGAGCCTTGTGGAGTTGAGGCAGGAGGTACTGGTTCAAATGCAGGCAAGAAACAGCCAGGACCGACCTCGAGCTCACTGAAAAGAGATGACCTTCTGGCGAGGGCCGTGCCCTATAGCAAAAACCAATCCAGAAAAAAAAAAAAAAGATGATCTTGCTCTGCTTAAAACAATTAAAAAGGGACCAGTAGATGGTGTAATGGCTACGTTGCTGGACTCCCATGTAGTAAACCACAGTTCGAATCCCGACCCGGTAGCTTAAACTCACGCCGGGCGCGTGTGCGTGCGTGCCCAAGATCCCGAGAGGAGAATGGAGGAGAAGGGATTGCGGTGTGACCATCCCCCCTGGGGGGGGTGATTTCTCGGTTTCTGTCTCTCTGTCTCTCTCTGTCTTTCTGGTGAGCACACGCCCTATAGCGAAACCTTCAAAAAATTATTACTTATTTATTCAATCTCATTTGTTATTATTATTTTAGAATGTGATCAGACAGAGACAAAGGCAAAGCGAGAAAGTGAGCTGCCAGGTCTGGGACTCAAACTGTGGTCGGCCATGTGGGAATCCAGCGCCTTTAACTACCATGCCACTGCTGACCCCCTTTTGTTTTTATTTATTTATTTAATTGTTTTTGGTCATGGAGTGCGCACATTTGACAGAGAGGAGAGAGAGAAATAAAGTGAGAAATCAGCCCCATGACCACGCCGCAATCCCTTCTATTCCACTCTCTCTCCCTCTCTTATTTATTATTTTTTTTTTTTGGAGAGGTTTTTGCCATAGGGTACATGCGCTCGCCAGACAGACAGACAGAGACAGAGAGACAGAAAGCAAGAAATCACCCCCCAGAGGGGATGGTCACGCCTCAATCCCTTCTCCTTCATTCTCCTCTCGGGATCTTGGGCACGCACGCACACGCGCCTGGTGTGAATTTAAGCCACCGGGTCCAGGACTTGGACCGCGGTCGACTACATGGGCGTCCAGGGACATAGCCATTACGCTAACTGCTGGTTCCCCATTCTCCATTTAGGATTTGGGGCACACATGCACATGTGTCTGGTGTGATTTTCAAGCCACCGAGTTTGGGACTCAAACCGCAGTCAGCCATGTGAGAGTCCGGTGCCTTTACCGTCATGCCACCTGCTGGCCCCTGTGCACGCAGTTCTGATCACCTTTGTGTTACCATCAGACCACTAAATGCTGTGGAGTTACTTCTTACTAGGAACAGGTGGCAGATGGGGCCACGGCCATGCCCTGCCCTGTGAGGCGGGGAGTTCCAGGCCAGGGTCCCGAGCCTCCCCGAGCACGCCATGACTGTGGGGACCTCGCTGGGTGCGCCGTGCGACCGGCGCTGGCTGCAGCAGGCGTGGGTCTCTCCCTTGCTAATGGAAGAAAGAAGAAACTTAAGACAAACACCTGAAGGCGGCCTTGTTCTCTTCTGGAACTGGCCTGGGGAGTGAGGGGTGACTCATGTCCCAGGACGAGAACTTCAGCTACATTGGCAAGACCCCTCCCCTTTGTCACCTGCCCCCTCCTCAGCAGTCACCCCACCTGCTTGGTCCCTTACCCTCCTCTCTGGTCTGTAGCCCCCACGCACCCCTCCCTCTATCCCAGAGCACCCCTCCATGGCCTTTCCTCTGTCCCCCTCCTTCCTGCTGTCCTGAGGATTCTCCCCCAACGTCCCCTCACCCCGCAGCCCCCTCTTCACCCTCTCTCACCTTGCCTATTCTTCTCTGTCCCGTTTTTGTCCCTCCTCCTCCGCTCTGGCCCTGTCTCTCACACTGTCCCCACCTGCTCTCTCAGACGCACAGACGTCACCTAGCAGCGAGAAGTCATGAGAGGGAGGACATTTGCCCAAAGGAGCCCCTGAGTGAGGAGCCTCTCGTGCCTTCCGGCAGCTCTGGTGAGGCTGGCAGCCTGCTCCCGAGTGCAGCAGGCCGGGACCACCTGCCCAGTCAGGGCAGCAGGGGCAGGAGGTGGAGCCCAGGAGACCCCAGCCCCTGTGGGGCGCCCCTCCCCCATGTCCTGCTCTCAGAGAACCCCGGGGGTCTGCGGGTGTATAGAGTTGCACCTGCTCAGAGCATCGTGTCCATCCGCTTCCCAAGCCTGGCTGGACACACAAAGCAAGGGTCAGGGAACAGCCCCCTGCAGCTTGGCCAGAGCCTGGCCCAGGAGCAGGTCCCAGATGTGGGTCACTCCAGGTGGGGCCATGCCACTTTGGTCCCATTGTACTGCTGTTGGACTGCAGGGGCTGGGCAGTGCCCCAGAGAGGAAAGCCCCTGGGAGGGGCCCACTGCAACAGGGCTCGCAGTGGGCCAACCGGCTACCCCTACCCGGGGCTCCTGGGCAGGTGTCCCCACTCACCTCCACCCCACATGGTACAGCCCTTTGCTGAGCACTCCTGTGTCCCCGAGGGCAGGGCTGGGACCTTTTTTTTTTTTTTTTAAATAGGATATGTGCACTTGCCAGTGAGGCAGAGAGAAAGACAGAGACGGAGGGGGAGGTAAGGTGAGAAAGCAGTCCCCAAGGGGTATGGCCATGCCGCAATCCCGGCGGGGTGGCACTCCACGCCGGCTGTGCTGAAGCTGGGGTGCATGGCGGTGCCAAGGCCTTCCTGAAGGTGCTGTTTCTCTGTCTCTCATTCATGGAAGACAGAAATGAACTTTTTGAAAAAGGGAACGTTCTGTGGTTATTAAGGATCAGACCTTTATCTGAACCGCCTTGGTACGGTGTGCAGAAAAAGAGCCTGGCAAAGTCTTGACGTTGGTGGACGATCCATGAGTTAGTGGTAACTAGCATGGCCTATCTCATCAGCTTGCTGAGGTGCACATGTAAGGGGGCTTCAAAACTGGAAGGGGGGCCAGCAGGTGGCATGGTGGTTAAGGCTCTGGACTCCCACATGGCTGACTGCAGTTAGTACCCCAGACCTGGCAGCTTGAAACTTACAGCCAGGAGTGAGTGTGAGTGTGCCCAAAATCCTGAGAGCAGAACGGAGAAGGGATTACAACAGGGCCATCTCCCCTGGGAGGTGGTTTCTCACTTTTTCTCTCTGTCTCTCTGGTGGAGCACACATACCCTATAGCAAAAAATCTCTTTTAAAAAATTATTTAAAAAATCTACAATTGTGGGACCAGCAGTTAGCATAATGACTGTGTCACTGGACTCCCATGGAGTCAACTGCGGTTTGCATCCCGGACCCAGTAGCTTAAAACTCATGCTGGTTGTGTGTGCGTGCGTGCCCAAGATCCCGAGAGAATGGAGGAGAAGGGATTGTGGCGTGGGCATCCCCCTGGGGGGTGATTTCTCTCTCTGTCTCTCTGTCTGCCATGCCTCCTAATGCAAAAAAAAAAAAGCTCTCAAAAAATTTAAATAAATTAAAAAATCTACAATTGGGGCTGGCAGGTGGCATGGTGAGGGTACTGGACTCCTATATGGTCGACCACAGTTCAAGTCCCGGACCTGGCAGCTTACGTTCTCACGTTCTCTCTCTCACTCTGTCCCTCTCTGGTCAAATTAAAAAAAAAAAAAACTTCAGGGAGAAAACCTACAATTCCATTATCACACTCAGCAAAATTAACAATAATTCTTTAATAACATCAAATATAATTAG